TAAAACAGCGAATATCATCAAATTTTCATATTTTCGTACTTTTCTTGATATCTATGCGCCTGGGAGCAAGAGTGCAAGAGAGCAATATTGTTAGCAATAAAATTTGCTACAACTTTCATTCTAAAAGCTTTCTTGTGATATACTCTGAATCCCGGATGTTACCATTAACAATTTATAAAATAACGAAATTCATCAAATTTTCATATATTTGTACTTTTCTTGATATCTATGCATCTGATAGCAAAAGTGCAAGAGAGCAATATTGTTAGGAATAAAATTTGCTACAACTTTTATTGTAATTGTTTTTTTGTGATATGCTCTGAATCCCGGGTGTTACCATTAACAATTTATAAAACAACGAAAATCATCAAATTTTCATATTTTCGTACTTTTCTCGATATCTATGTATCTGATAGTAAAAGTGCAAGAGAGCAACATTGTTAAGAATGAAATTAGCTCCAACTTTTGTTGTAAAAGTTTATTTGTAATATGCTCCGTTTTCCAAGTATTACCATTAACTGGTAAAATAAAGATATTTATAAAATTTTTATATTTTCGTATTTTGCTCGAAATCTATGCATCTGATAGCAAAAGTGCAAGAAAGCAATATTGTTAAGAATGAAATTAGCTGCAACTTTTGTTGTAAGCAATATTGTTAAGAATGAAATTAGCTGCAACTTTTGTTGTAAAAGTTTGTTTGTAATATGCTCCGTTTCCCAAATGTTACCATTAACTGGTAAAATAAAGACACTTATCAAATTTTTATATTTTCGTATTTTTCTCGAAATCTACGCGCCTGGCAGTAAAAGTACAAAATAGCAATATTGTTAGGAATAAAATTTGTTACAACTTTTACTCTAAAAGCTTTTTTGTGATATGCTCTCAATCCCTGGTGTTACCATTAGCAGTTTATAAAACAACGAATATCATCAAATTTTCATATTTTCGTACTTTTCTTGATATCTATGCGCCTGGGAGCAAGAGTGCAAGAGAGCAATATTGTTAGCAATAAAATTTGCTACAACTTTCATTCTAAAAGCTTTCTTGTGATATACTCTGAATCCCGGATGTTACCNAAAAGCTTTTTTGTGATATGCTCTCAATCCCTGGTGTTACCATTAGCAGTTTATAAAACAACGAATATCATCAAATTTTCATATTTTCGTACTTTTCTTGATATCTATGCGCCTGGGAGCAAGAGTGCAAGAGAGCAATATTGTTAGCAATAAAATTTGCTACAACTTTTATTCTAAAAGCTTTTTTTGATATGCTTTGATTCCGGGTGTTACCATTAACAATTTATAAAACAACGAAATTCATAAAATTTTCATATTTTGGTACTTTTTTCGATATCTATGCATCTGATAGCAAAAGTGCAAGAGAGCAATATTGTTAAGAATGAACTTTGCTACAACTTTTATTGTACAAGTTTATTTGTAATTTGCTTCGTTTCCAAAGTGGTAAAATAAAGACATTCATCAAATTTTTACATATTTGTATTTTTCTCGAAATCTATGCACCTGACAGTAAAAGTGCAAAAGAGCAATATTGTTAGGAATAGAATTTGTTACAACTTTTACTCTAAACGTTTTCTTATGATATGCACTGAATCCCGAATGTTACCATTAACAATTTATAAAACAACGAAATTCATCAAATTTTCATATTTTTGTACTTTTCTCAATATCTATGCATCTGATAGCAAAAGTGTAAGAGAGCAATATTGTTAAGAATAAAATTTGCTGTAACTTTTGTTGTAAAATTTTTTTATAACATGCTGCGTTTCCCAAATGTTACCATCAACAACTAGTAAAATTATATTTACTCCAAAAGCTTTTTTGTGATATGCTCTGAATCCCGGGTGTTACCATTAACAATTTATAAAACAACGAAATTCATCAAATTTTCATATTTTTGTACTTTTCTGGATATCTATGCGCCTGAGAGCAAAAGTGCAACAGAGCAATATTGTTAGGAATAACATTTCTACAACTTTTGTTCTAAAAGTTTTTTTTTGTAATATGCTCTAAATCCCAAATCTTACCATCAACAACTAGTAAAATAACGAATTTCGTCAAATTTTCATATTTTTGTACTTTTCTCAATATCTATGCATCTGATAGCAAAAGTGTAAGAGAGCAATATTGTTAAGAATGAAATTTGCTATAACTTTTGTTGTAAAAGTTTATTTGTACTATGCTCCGTTTCCCAAGTGTTACCATTAACTGGTAAAATAAATACATTCATCAAATTTTTATATTTTCGTATTTTTCTCGAAATCTATGCGCCTGACAGTAAAAGTGCAAAATAGCAATATTGTTAGGAATAAAATTTGTTACAACTTTTACTCTAAACGTTTTTTTGTGATATGCACTGAATCCCAAATGTTACCATTAACAGTTTATAAAACAACAAAAATGATTAACTTTTCATATTTTCGTACTTTTTTCGATATCTATAACTTATTAGCTATTTTAAACAATTTAATAAACACAATTTAACAATTTAATAAAAAAAATTAATAAGTTGATAATTTAATATAACTTACCACAAATGTATTTTATCTTTTATTTCCTTTGTGATAAATAATGAAAAATAAAACTACGTATTAGTAAAAAGAAAATTTTATTTTTAAATCACCGATAAGTAATCATCGAAAAAAGTCGAGCACGTATTTACAATAATTATATTCANATTTTGTTATGATCTAAATATAATTCGTTTAATTTTTGTAATTGGTCGAATTCGAAACCTCTCAATTCTTCTAAATGGTTGTTCTCCATGTGGAGGATTTTTAACGATTTAACTCCGTTGAAAGTTCGATTATGGATGTTTAAGATGTTGCTGTTGTTTAAGAATAAAACTTCTAATTTTTTCTTTCCGATGAAGACGTGGCTCCCTAATTCTCCTAAATCGTTTCCGTCGAGGTAAATTTCTGTGGCGTCCATTGGGATTTTTTCGGGGACGTTTCTGTACCCGGCGTTGCTGCAATCAACCACGTTTGAGGACCAAGTTAAATCGTGGAAGCACGTGCAATTATCGGGGCAAGTCATTTCACAATCGCAAGCGTCGAAATCGCAACAATGACACAAAGCGAAACAATGCGTTTTGTATTCGCACAAAAATTGGGAAGGTTTTAAATATAAAAGTTTTTGAGGAGGCGATCCCCTGCTATGAACTAAATCACAATTAACAGAGTCTAAATCTAAAATTTGGGGGTATTGCCTTAAATTACTGCTTAAATGATTGATCCTCAACAACCACTCCATGTTACAATCGCAATAAAACGGGTTATTTCCTAAATAAAATTGGGGCAAATCATCATTTTCATTAAAACCCCCCAAATTTAACGAGGAAATATCCAAGTTTTTGATTTCATTATAACTTAAAACAACTTTTTTTAGATTTTGTTTATTCAAAAACGAATTAGGTTCAATCGATTTAATTCTGTTATTATTCAAAAAGAACTCTTCGATTTTCGCAGGAACCGAGTGCTGATTAATTTCACTTAAATAATTAAAACTAACATCGAAAAACTTAATATTACTCGAATTAACCACATCGAATCGATCGTTAAGTTCGGTTATTTGATTATTTCTTAAATCCAAACCTTGCAAATTCAACGGAAGATGACCGAAATCGAAAATGTTCAAGTTATTAGCCGAAACGTTTAACCAAATTAAACTTTCCAAGTTTGTAAAAACACCACTAATATCCGTGAGTTGATTATTGTCCAATAAAATAGCTTTTAACCCCGAATTACTCGAAAACGCACTCTGTTCAACATGTTTAATTCTGTTCGACGCCAAATTTAAAACTTTTAACGATGGCAAAGTTGAAAAAGCATCCCTCGAGATGTTCGAAATGCGGTTATCGACCAATCTTAATCCGTAAACTTGATCTAAACCTTCAAACGATGAGTTGTTTACACTCCTTATCAAGTTTTTCCCCAAATCCAATGACTTCAAGTACCGCAACTTTTTAATCCCACCCGGAACCGAATCGAGTTGATTTCCGTTTAATCCCAAATCTTGAAGATTCGTTATATTCTCGAAACTTTGATCATCAATGATTTTTATATAATTAAAATCTAATATTAATTGATTCAAAGCGTACATCCCATTTAAATGGAAACCTTCAATCGTTTGGAGTCGATTATGCGACAAAATCAAAGCGTGCAAATTACTTAATTGCCCAAAAGCTCCTTCAACGATAGTTTCGATTTGATTTCGTTCCAAATTTAAAATTTGGAGACTAAATAAATCTCTAAAAACGTTTCCATCGATTTTATTTAAACTATTATAGCCAAGATTTAACTCAACTAACCTAACTAATCCTTTAAAAGCGTCTCGGTTAATCCATTTACTCGACAACTCATTATGACTCAAATCGACAACTTGCAGTTGATCCAAACCTTCCAAAATCCCCGGCGCCAACACACTCAACGAATTATTTTGGAGATAAAGATGATTCAAACTTCGCGAGGAATGAAAAAGCTCCGGAGGTAACGCAACAATTGAATTACTAGACATATTAAGCGTTTGCAAATTTCTCAAATTTGAGAAAGCTCTATCTCCAATTGATGAAATCGCGTTATCTTGCAAACTCAAAGTTCTCAAANTCTCCATCACTCTTCGCCCATCCAAACTCATTTCACCTGGGAATTTAACGTAATTAATTAAATAACTATATTTCTTTGATTACCTAATACTTACTATTACGTGCCATTATCGCAATTGTGGCTACCATTGTATGGCTTAGAACTTGTGTGCAACATGAAATTTTCATTTTTTTCAGCTTACCTGGCAAAACATGTTGGTCTGTAACTTTTTTCAATGCCCGCAGATGGCCACTGGCAGCATCAATTTTATATGCAGATATAATATGCGCCTACTGGGCGGTATATTTTATCGGATTTTCCTCCCACATCAAGTTTTTGTTTAGGAAATTGTTTCTTATCCCTTTAATAATAACGTCTCCATCTATGTTTATTACTTTTTCTGCATTCTTTCCAATTAAATGGTTAACAGCTGCCTGGTTATTGCTGCCCTGATCACTTGCGTAATCAAATTCGCTATTTTAATACTTTCTGCAGGTCCACCAGGCAATATGTATACCACGGGTTGTATCCATTTTCTTGCAACTCCTTGTCAATCATGTCTCTGTTGAAAGTCTCACCCAAAATCTTAATAGAATCATCGAAAAGCCTTGCAATAATGCTATGATTCACTTTATCGTGCACGAAACAAAAATTGTTGTTTAGTGATCAACTCATCAAGATCCAAAATTTCAATAATAACATTTGCCACATATCTTCCTGTTGCATCTATTGTTTCGTCGATTGAAATCCACAAAAAGCAACCGTTGATGCATTTCTGTATGTGGTCTATGGTATTTTTGTAAAATTCCTTAACATATTTTGTACGAAGAGTATTTTCTGATGGTACTTTGTACTCTGTGTATAATTCTAGGAACGATATCAATTTTTTGTTGCGCGATTTATACAGAGGTATATCAGCGCAAATTAATGCGCTACATCTTCTACAAATTGAACATCTTTGCAAGTACCTATTGGGATAAGTTTCCTAACATAGACGACATTACTACTACTACAGTTTCAAATAAATTTTTACTCCTACTTACTCTTTTCTAATCACTTGAAATCTAAATAAATAATACTTAAACATGCGAAGAACATCCAACGTTCTAAATTTTTTACGGAAAATATGTATGTCATCCGGTAGAATGGGGATCCACCGGCCGATAACCGAATAGGGAATTACCATTGTTACCATACTTTTCTTCACAGAACTTTAAGTTTACGGTAACTTTATATCAAATTGAAACTTGTTGCAAAATAAAATATTGAAAATATGCATCGTCGTATAGATAAAATAAGCAAAAATATGCTCCCACAAATACGGCTGAAAATTCATCGTTTGGTCTAAAACAAATTTCTGTCTAGTACATTCTTTTCTCCGACGTAAGAAAAAAAAATATACGTTTACATATTTTTGGTTGCTTTAGATATTACCATTGTTGAGGTATAGAGGAAACGTTTAAAGTATTAAGATGCACTGCTTTCATCATAAAAATTCATCATAACTCATAAATTAAACCCGATGGGGAAAATTATTAATGATAAAAATTATTTATAAGGAATCCTAAATACATAATTCATAATAAGATTTAACCTGGATAATATCATTTTTTTTTATCAAGTTAAAATCTCCAAAATGCTGAAATTGATGGTTTTTGTAACAAAATTTTAAGGAGTTGGACTAAACGGTTTCTTATGCAAGTAGGTACTGTACATTTACTTCATCTTCCACAATGTTATCTAACATCGTCGAGGTCGCTTGCGGGAGAGGCGAAAAAATCTTCGGAAACTAACGATTTTATATTGACATGAAACTTAGCATCTCGCCCGAAAGCAACCTCGGCGATTTGAGGCGAAATCGTTCCTTG